ATGGTTAACTGTTGAGTTTGTGATTGAAGATATTATCGTGGGTGCGGCTATTACCCGTGGGGTCTAGTGAATTTGTAACGTGATGGCCGTTACTCCTGATGAGGAATGATATACTCCGGTTAATACTGCTGCAGGGACTGATGAGGTTGATAGCTATCTATAGTCATACTGATATATGGTGAGTGGATACTGACAAGGAAATTGCTTAGATTAAACTGAAATATATATTTTATAAAGAAAACGGAAAATTTTAGTCGAGGTATTTCGGGAATTTTATCAAAAAGTCGATTTACATATATAACCCACCCCTATATTTACAAAATTTCAAAGTTAATAAAAAAATACTCTTTCATAAAGTAGCTTAGAAATTTAAAGATAAACGAGGCTTGCATATATTTTAAAGCGTGGAAACAATGAAATGGCAGTTCTATGACTACGAGGGTGGTCCGATAAGTACTTAGCCTCACCGCCCGATGGCGCCACTCTCGGAAAAGAAATATTCTATCACGTAGTACAACCTTCTCGATGGTTACTGTAAAGATTTCAGCCGGATCGGAGTTATAGTTTATTTTTGAGAGCGTGTGAAAGCAAGTGTGTCCGTTGATTTTTGAAAAATGGAAAAAGAGCAGTATCGATCGGTGATTTGATTCTTGTTTTTGGAAGGGAAATCGCGCAGCGAAATCAAAAAGCGCTTGGATGCCGTGTACAGTGACTCTTCTCCTTCGATGGCGACCGTCAAAAATTGGTTTAACGAGTTTTAACGTGGTCGCACGTCGATTTTTGGAGAGCCACGTCCAGGTGCTCCGAAAATGGCTACCACGGAGGATAACGTGACAAAAGTTCACGATCTCGTATTGGCAGATCGACGATTGAAGGTGCACGAGATAGCTAAGATCGTAGGCATCTGAAAAGACCGCGTGGGTCATGTCCTGCATGAAATTTTGGGCACGAGAAAGCTGTCGGCGCGATGGGTGCCGCGTTTGCTCACTCCGGACAACAAGCGCAACCGTGAGACAACTTCAGAGCAATGTCTGACGCTGTTTAAGCGCAATCCGAAGGAGTTTCTGCGTCGTTTCATGACAGTCGACGAGACATGGATCCACTGGTATACACCAGAGACCAAGGAACAGTCGAAACAGTGGACTTTACCCGGCGAAAGTGCTCCGAAGAAGGCGAAGACTGTCCCATCGGCCGGAAAGGTGATGGCCACCGTTTTCTGGGATTCACAAGGTGTGATCTACATCGACTACCTGGAGAGGGATAAAACGGTCACAGGGCTGTACTATGCTGAATTATTAGGCCGATTCGACGTCGAATTGCAGAAAAAACGGCCCCATTTGGCGAAGAAAAAAGTACTCTTCCACCATGACAACGCACCGGCTCACACCTCCGCCGTCGCCATGGCCAAATTGGTCGAATTAGGCTACGAACTGCTGCCCCATCCACCGTATTCTCCAGATTTAGCCCCATGCGACTTCTTTTTGTTTCCAAACTTGAAAAAGTCACTCGCCGGGTAGAAATTTGAGTCGAATGAGGAGGTAATCGCTGCCACGGAAGCCTACTTTTCAGACCTCGAGGAAACGTATTTTTCAAACGGGTTAAAGAAGTTGGAGCATCGCTGGGCCAAGTGTATCGAACTAAAAGAAGACTATGTTGAAAAATAAAACCCCACTTTTCCAAAATTTTCGTTTTTCTTTTGTAGGCTAAGTACTTATCGGACCACCCTCGTATTATTTGTACCATTAAGTGTTGGAAGTTTTACATTTAAAAAGTTTCTATTTTCGTGTGCTACATTTCTATGATAACTCTTACTCATAAGATAAGTGTAAAGAGATATTCTGAAATAGAGAAACAACGTGGGAAGCATATGGCATTTTTAGACTTCAATATGCTGATGTTTTTGTTTATTTCATTCCTGTAATACTTCTACTTTTATCAGTATAAGATTAGTCGAATAAGACATTTCAACAATGAAAAACAACATTTATCAGAAACGTTTAGCAGTAAGTTTTATGTTTCAATTGTGTTAATTGTAAGTATTCTAATATTTGACAACAATGAAAATCAATCGATCATTCTAAGTTATGAATATACTCTTACAAGAAATTCTTGTTAACCATGCAGAATTAGAATTAAAAGAAAATATTGAAAAAAATTTTTGAATGCTTTGGATAGATTTAACAAAATGGGAGCTCTAAAAGATAGTACACTCGAATTTCAAGAAGAATTTAAAAATTGTGAAGCGATGGCTATCAAAGAGAATATATGGTACAAACAGCATACTTAATGAGTGTAATTAAATTATTTAATGTAATTAAAGGATAATAAAAAGTTAAATTATGAATTAAAAGAGAAAGCGGTTAAATACTGGAGATCTGCGAAGACATAGAGAGAGAAGATAGACATTAAGAGCATAGAATAATAGACAAAAAAATAAATAAATTTTTTATATGTTACAAAAAAAATTTTATGTGGTGAGTCGAAATTTAAAGATAAAGAAAACAAATTGTTAGATAAACCACGAAATTATATCTATTAGTGTGAAAAAAATAATATCTATACCTCTGATAAAAGTGGATTAAGATAGAAATTCAATCTAAACTAACACTAATAGAGAAAGTAACAAAAAAAGTTAAGTATGTTGTTCAATCAATTTCCGCAATAACCCACAGGTTACGATACAACTAACTATAATTATTACAGGAAAATTACTTTCGCCCCTTTTTTTAGTTATGAAGAAAATAAAAAATAAGTTAAGACGATAATACTAAAAGTTTTATTCAAACCACTTAATGTTTACGTGATAGCTTCAAAACCAGGTAAATTGAAAGCTATGTATAATCTGAAAATATTGATTTTATACGACTTTTTAAGTATTCATTATATTTATCGAATATTTCAAAACGTAATTAAGAGAAGTCTTTTATCCTAATATTAATAGTAAATGTGTATTTCTAATAAATTCATCAAGTAGACATTGTCCAGAAGCTGTACAAGAAGTTATTGTTAAAGATAAACAAATCCATCTATTAAAGTTACCCAAAGGTACAGCATCAAAGATAGAATCTTTAGATATTTTTAGTTTTAGACTCTGGGAAAACTTTGTAAGGCACTTTTTCCGAAGTGTGATATTAATAAATGAAGACATTTACATTAATTTACATTTTAGGAACAATGTTATAAAATTACAAGCACTTACAATCGACTGTCTTCAACTATAAATATCAATCTTTTTAAGTATTTTATATAACAGTTGGTTTAAAAATGGATATATAAACAAAAAAACTTATCCTTCTCGTATTTGGATTTACATAAGCAGATTTATCAAGGTTTGTGTGAGAGACCTGGATGTACAAATATTGCTATTATTAGATGTTCATGATGTGGAAAATCTTCTTTCTAAAATTATTACTACTTTTTTTAACTTATTGCATCATCTTGTATATTTTGCTTTCTTTAGAGTTAAATTTGTAATACAGATTCAACTTTCCGTATAACAAGTTAAAAAAATAACAAAAAATGCTTTAATATCTAATTGTTATAGATTTTTTTTTGCTATAGTTTATTGTAATTTATTTAAAATAAATTTGAAATATCTTGTTGGTTATCATGTGAAACGCCCCGACTAAATTTTTTCGTTTATTTAAATAAAATATATGTTAATTTAATTTAAATGACTTTGAAAAGCCGGTACTCGATTGTAAAAAAAGCAATATTTTTACTTAGAAAAAATGAGGGGTTGCAACATTTTAAAGTAAAAATAATTGTCATAAAACTGCCATTTTATAATAAACAATTTGGCGTTAGTATTATATCAATATTCAATTTTTTTTTAAAGTTAATATGTAGTTTTTTTTGGGGGGTAATTTTTAAAGGTTATTTTCATTCCCAAAAAAAACTTCTTCGTCGATAAAAATTACATGTCTCTTATTTTTTTTTTCTATTCTACAACATATTACAGTTAGATAAAAATTGGAGGCGAACACCTCGTAAGAATTCTTTAGGTAGTAGGAGGAAATGGCGGTAGCGAAGGTGGCGGTTCGGAACTAGTCAAAAACAATTTAATGACAATCCTAATGACGCGAGTGGGTAATTCTGAGCGCTACGTACAACTGAACACAATGCAGTGAAGCTAGATCAAGTAGGTCATTTTCAGACAGGACCGAGATAAGTTCGGCTCTTGAAGTAGGACGGGCGAAGAACCGAAGGTTCTTGACGATAGGCCGAAGATATCCGAGAGAGTCGCAAGCTGCACATGTCTTGAAGAGAAGTTCAAAGACAGGCTTCGGCCAAATCGAACACAAGTAGACGCGCAGATTTCCTCCACAACCAATTATTAGTTAGGCCGTGAACCCTTTAAAGATGGAAGAGAGGCAGATAATTTGGTCACGAGTTACTGAGGGAGTCAGTACAAAGGCAGTTATTTTTATTCTATGAGAATCTTTCAAGAGTTTTTGATTGGTTGACTAAAAATATCATCGAAAGCTACAATACGCTTGCCAGAGATTGCCTCCAAATTACTTTTATGGTGATCCGAAAATAATCGAAATTGCATACCTACTTTGGAGGCGGGATTTTCAATTTACAGCGATTTTAAGAATAATGAAATATGTTAAATTAAATCTTGATATAGCAGTAGTTAACTACGTTAAATGGGCCAATGAATTTAAAACAGATTTCTTCAACTTATTTAATACAAATTTATAAAAACAGTTTTTACCTGAATAAACCTTCAAATTCTTCTATATTTATTTTATAATAAACGGCGCTAAGTTTAATTATCTTTATTATTTTTATTATTAATTAATTATCTCATATAGTGAAGGTCTTATAAGTTAGAATCAGGAAGTTAGGAATTCTTCCTGTATAAAAAGATTAAAAATAATCTTATGAATAATGAAGCTATATATAAAGTTTGAAAATCTCTTTACATTCTTAAAAAATATTGAACAATCTATTTTTATTAGTATTGAATTAAATATTCATTTTATTTCTTTCAGCTGACGAATACTTAACCTACGCCTTCCAACATTGCCATAAAGGATCTATGCAGAATAAACGTCTTATACTATTATATCTTGTTCCTGTCAAGATGCTACTTGGGATTCTTCCAAAATACCATTTATTAAAAAAATATAATTTACTGGAATTCTCGGATTTAATTGACGCTGTTAGAAAAGGAAATATACAGAGTTTAGAATCAGTTATGAGTTATCAAGAAGGATTTCTTATCAACGCCGGAATATATTTGATTGTTGAAAAACTAAAATTAATTGCATACAGAAATTTATTTAAAAAAGTTTATTTAGTTCTTAAAACTCATCAAATAGATATGGAATGTCTTCTAGGTGCATTAAAAATATACGGACGAAATGATTTAGATATAGACGAAACAGAATGCATAGTTGCAAATCTGATTTTCGATGGAAAAATCAAAGGTTATATTTCACATCAACATAAAAAATTAGTAATTTCTAAACAAAATCCCTTTCCAAAATTGTCATCTTTGGTTTAATTATCGAAAAAAATTTATAATAAAAGTATAACATTTAAAATACTAACTATTTTTTAAGTTTTGAAAATATATTTACCAGGAAAAATATATTATTCTGTAAGAAATATATAACTAAAAATGTTGTCTTCTTGTATATTATCAATTGAGTATTCTATGCTCGACCTTTTCTAATAAATATTTTTTAATAATGAAATGAAGAGTACAGTGAAGTTACAAGAATTTCTCCATATCTACAGACGTTATTATTGCATGTGATAAAAAGAGTATATAGACAAATTTTTTATGGGAGTTGTAGGGCAAAGATCATTTATAGATCGTAATAACCATTGTTGATAAAATTATTCAAACGATATCAACCCCAATGTCGTCATGAGCCAGAATTCCAACGTAGTCTACTGACTAAAAACCCTTTCGTTTTACGGCACTAGGGATGTACGACCATAACGTGAACTGTCCGTTACAATATCTAGCACACACCGACACTTTTTTTTAGTATTACTTTGATAGGGATTGTTATGATCCCGCAGGATTTTCCTTCGGATGCTGTACTTCTCAACCTATCAATCTTGTGATTTCTTCAGTCTCTTCTTCTCACTTGTCTCTTTTTTTCTTCTATAATCTTAATTATTTATCTGATAAAAGCAGCTACGACATTCCAAATTTTCTTTGACGTTAGTATGATCTATGGGTTTATCTTTTAATAGCCGAGTAAATTCTACTTATGAATAAGTTAGCTTTCTTCTATAGCCTGCACTCCACGTCATCCTTCTCTTTACAACAAAATGATAATTGCTATTAGGTCTATGTCTTGTCTAGATTATATATGTTCCGAATCAGTCGTAATTGCTAAAGTCTTGAGTCTATTGATATTCCATCTTGCGTATTTACGTAGTATCTAATCCTCATTCTTCCATATAGTGAGCATACGTTCATCCTTCTAAACATTCTAAATCTCTAGTCATCTCTTGAAAAGCGTCTCCCTTGCTCATATGATCTTTACTGCTCATTTAGCTGTCTCTGTCTTAGTCACCGTACCTCTTGCTTGATCCATATTTCTAACCTCTCAAACGTTAATAATCGTATGGGGATACTACTATATGCACATTAACTGCGTTTCTTGACAGAGAACGCCATGCAATTATTATGCACAGATTCATTTTTCACTATACTGCTTGTAAGTTATATCTATTGTGCTTGTCAACTGTTGTTTATAAAATTATAGTTGCCCATATCGATACTCTATACAATTGTCTTGACTCTATAACTGTTGCTTGCAGCTTTATTTCCGAACGTCCCTGTTACGCGACCTTACGTGGAGCTTTTATAGCTAGGGGTCGGTTGGGTGGAAATCCCCTTCTTCAGGCCCATGAGACGTTGACAACTGAGTTTTGTATTGATGGAAAATTTTCTTATCCTATCTAGCATTTTGTTATTGGCTTATGGACGTGAGTTTTCAGAGAGAGAGAGAGAGAGAGAGAGAGAGAGAGAGAAAGGATCTCTTTTAAACTTGGGCTCTTTTCTCCAACGATAGCTCTTGGAGTATCATTTTGGAGAGTAAAAGTGTCGCTATTATTTATTATTATTATCGCGGATTTAATTGATTATAATGATACATAATACTTATTTAACATTAAAGAATTAATAATAAATTGTAATAACTACAAAATACAATAATTCAATAATTATATATTATACAACAATTAGGAAATTTTGCAAAATTAAGAAAAGTTCATTATCGTTCTATTCTTTGTTTTACTTCATGTTGAAATATGAAAGATTAATTATTTATTAGTTATTTCGTAGATATAAAAATATATTTCGAAAGTGTGCGCATTACAGTACGATGATTGTTAAAATTAGTTATTATTTTGTTTCTTATAATAATAATTTACGAAATTACTTAAAACCTATTAATATTTCGGATATTTTTTTTATGGTTTTCGTTATTTTCTAACGAATTTAAGCTTCAGAATGAAAACTTAAGTTAAACTTAAGATAAGAGGTTATGGATAGGTATGATTATTTATTATTATTTAGGGTAAGAAAAATTTTCGGATTTCTACAATTTTATTTCATTCGGTTTCAATGATAAATTCTAAACCTTCTTACAAACAGAAAAAAATTTCGTGGGAAAAGATAGATTGTACTTTCGTGGCCCTCTCCTCCTATCATCATGATAACTCTCGAGAGCTGTTAAGTGAGAAAGAATAAGATCGGGCAGTGAACTGCTTCTCACAACCTTGTTTTTCCTGTAGATAATATTGGTTTTCATTCTGATCTTCGGATTAATTTCTATAAATTAATTAGGTAAAAAAAATTAAATTAAGCTAAATTACTGCCTGCCGTCACACCCCTACACTTAAACGATTGTTAGAGGAGTGCAATGAGGAAAAGCAATCGTACCTTAATCCTAAAATTATAAGAATCTTGTCGTACAACGTTGTAGTCAGAATGAAGTTAAGTCATAAATTTCCTCCACATTTTGTTCCATGTGTTGACTACTAATAGTTCCATTATGTTTTCGTTCATCAGTTTTCCAATTATTCCATCATGATCTTTTATGGTGTGTCCATGAATTTCTCGGGCTATATTGTTTATTACTGCGAGTCGTTCTAAAGGAAACATGATTCGGTTCATTAGTTCTTATAGATCCTTTTCGATATATATTCCACCTGTGGCTAGTGAAGGAATATTCTGATATCTCCATGTAAAACTGGAGAAAAGCTTGAGAATGGTAGGTGCTTTTTCTTCCACTGCTCTGGCCAAAAACTTATACCATTCTTTATTGAAATAAAGATATGTATGCAACAATGTATTACAGTTAACAATTGTCTCATGGGATTTAAAAATGTGAGTTTTAGGAAATAGGAACTTTGTGTGGTTGTCATATATCATTTTTAATTCTGAGTAGCATTCTTCACCTTGAAGAATTTTTACACCAACAGGTATGCATTTGACTATGTGTACCACCTCTCTAACTATTAGGGCCATATATCCGGGACCTTTCATGAGATTATAGGCAAACTAATCGGAAGATTGAGTAGCAATTGCAAGTGCATTCTTCAAAATTTCTCTTTCTTGCTTATAACACTGTACGACAATATCCTTGTACAAACAAGACATTTGTACCTTTATATGGCGTTCTATGTATACAAATTTTGAATTTATATACGAAAAATTTATCTAGTTTATTTAACGATATTTCCTTGCTAAGGAAAAATGTATTATTTTCGACAACATAGATAAAAAGATTCGGAAGTTCGGTAACTAGAATTTCATAACCACATAGATGATGTTTAAATTTGGATATTAATCCGAACGCGATGTTTTGTCTTACTAATGAATATAAAGCTTGTTCGATCTCTCCTTCAATCTGGTTAGCTACGCCTTCATACAATATGTGATACTGATTAAATTTATATAAATCCTTAGGCATACTCTCCCAAAAAGTATGTTCTTCAGAATCAATACAGTTTTTATTACCTAAATTATATTTAACGCTACTACGTAATATTATTGATTATTATTTAAATCGACAGAAGCGGTATATTCTTGTAGAGTTATTCTTATTTTAGCTTGGACTACTACTGAATTCTAACTTCCGTAAGCATCGGAATAGCTACCATAGTTACACTCTTCGTTTTGTTTTACACTTCTTGCAAGTATTGCTGGTCTGACTATGGTTTAATTATTACTATGGAATTGTGTGAATACATTCTACAATAATAAACAGTTCGGTCTAGTTGAACTTGATATTGAACCACATGTACATTTACATAATTATTTAACTGTAATATCTGAATGTATTTTTTTGTTATGTTTACATTTGTAGAAGGCGCTTCATATTCTTCCACGTTTAACAAAGATATAGTTGTTATATTAAGAGATCTTACTCCGCTATCGTATCCTATGATGGCTGTAACTGGATTATCTATTATTAGGAGTAGCAGTGATAATAGAAGAGAATACATCATTTTATATATCTGTAATAAAAAAATATTTCATTATATGGTCCTTTTGTTCGATTGTCAGAAAAAAATATGTATTCTATATATGTTTGGTTTCCTTGGTTGATTAGTTAATATGTGAAATTCGGAGTCTATTTGAATGAACTATTTTTATGCTTTTTTAGTATCTATTTTAACATTATGTTTTGGTAAAATACCAAATATTTTATAAGATCCTAAGTAATGATCCCCGAATTTCCCTGGTTTATGACCTAATTTAAAAAAAACAAAATTTTTTATATTTATATACCTATCGTAATATTTTGTTGATCATTCTTTAGAATTGACTAAATTCTTGCAAGCTAGTTTTCGTATACTACAAAAACATGTAACTAACAAGGGAACCACCCCAACCCTCCGCCTCCGATTTTTCTGCAATTAAGATATGTTGTAATTCGTAAAAAAATAAAAGACCCGTATTTTTTTTTATCTAAGGGATGAAACCCACCCCAAAAAACAACCCCAAAAGCAGTTCTATAGCAATATCTTTAGTTGTAATGTATATTTTTTTATGAAACAAAAAAATACAAGATACTTATAAAAAAAGTAACCCGGGGGTTACAACCCCTACGTTGTATAGATGAAAAACTGTATTTATAAGTGTATTTTTACCTTACAAAATCAAAAAATTATGTTAAAAAAATTTTAAAAATGATATTCTAGTAGAAAATGATAAAACAAAATTGACGTGTTCCGGGGTTTTCCTATTATCTATTATTTCGAGGGTGAACTACCCCTTAATGTTATTAATACAATATATCGTAAGCAGTTATTAATCGCAGATTATGCTGATTATTTCATGTTCTATGACGCTCAAAAAAGCCAAACACATATATACTTTTGTTCTACCGAATAAACTATTTAGAGGGTGAAAGCTACCCCCGAAAGTTACCCCTCAACACCATTTTCGAGCGAAATTTTCGTATTTTATGCACAGTTTTCGAAAAAACAAACTCAAAAAAATTCGTTTAGAAAATTTCAGCTAAATATATGGATTTCGTCTACAGGGGTTGCAACCCCCTAAGTCGCCTGAAAGAAAAGCTATGTTTTCAAATAATTTCTTGTAAAATTTTTTCAGAAAAATTGAAGTTTATGAAATTCCGTTTAAAATCTAACACAAAAGTATATAGTATCCGTCTCCAGGGG